TGTTTCTCTGTGTGCCATAGATGAGTGAGATAATTTTGTATTTTCCTTATGCCTCTATCTTCTTTTGATCAACATTATATCCTCCAGTTCTGTCCATGTGGCTGAGAACTACATGACTATTTTTTTCTAATGGCTGCATAGTATTCCATTATGTATGTGTATCACAACTTCTTTATCCATCCATCTGTTTTTGGATATTTGGATTGCTTTTATAGACTGGCTATTTTGCTAAAGTTGTACTGAACATATGTGTGCATATATCTTATCAAATTTATGCTTAAAAGCACAAAAATATTACATGTGGGCTGATAATCATGTGCTTTGCACTTTCTCATCTTCACATGTTCCTTTGGTCTTTTCCCCAAGTATTAATTTTTAAAATTATTTCACTAAAAATGACTTTTTCTTCAGTGATGATATAGAATAAGAGTTAATAGAATGGGTGACTTTCTATTGTGGTACAATAGGACAAGTGGGAAAGGGTGAAGACAATACTAGAAGGAGCGAAAAGGTACAAAAGGAGCAGCTTGCTCTTGATACAACATGATCGTCAGCACTCATTCAGAAAGAGGGTGCTGGTTTATGATTTGGCCATAAGACTCACTAAGAAGAGATAGTTTTCTGATCCTTAAACTGGGCTCAGATTCTTTATGCAAAGCTCTTCCTCAACCCAATTAGCAGAGGTCAATCTCTCTTATTCATGGCGACTCTACTATAGTTCTCTCTTCAGCTACCTTGGTCTAGCATGCATTGAACATTTTTTAACTCTTCTCTTTCCTCCAACTTTTAAAATTTGTATATAAGGGAAGCATGGTGATCAAGACGTTAATGGTTTAAGGGCCAGGGAGTTAGCTTAATGAGTCAGAGCACAGGTCTATCTTAGGGTACCTGGTACCCCTCATTTATGTCCCTGCCACTATATGGTCCTCTGAATACCTCCCAGAGCTAACCATCCTCATCCTTCAAAAGTAAACATAGAAACAATAACAAAAAAGTATTTGTTTCTGAAATGACAACTTCTTCACATCAGAGTAAATGCATGTACACAATTTAAGGCCGTTTTCCCCCCCAAGTAAAATATCTTAGCTCTTTCAGACTGAATTTGTTTTGTGATTATTCCACAGTTCTCCTATTTTCTTTGTACATTCTGTCATCCTTGGCTGTCTTTATTATCCCAGCCTTGCTCTGTGCTCCTAGACTCTTTAGATGTAGAATTAAAACTAGGCTATAAAATTCAGAGAGCAGCGATATTTTTTCATTGAAGCACCCTTTCAATTAACAAAGTTATTTATGACTGAGTCATGGTGTACCAACACCTGTTCTTTCACCAGTGTCACAAATGTCCACATTCTCCTTTCCACAATGCCCCCTGTTTCCCTGCCAACCCCTATTCTGCCTCTATGGCAGACACTTTTAAAAAAATATATATATATGTATATATATATTTTTACACTGTGATTTGCATGACTGTTACTGATATGGTTTCATGCCTAACACTTTAGCACTTTACAGCACACACTCCACCTACAGAGTGCCCACTTCCTTCTGCCATTGTCATAGTGTCACAGTGCCTCCCTATACCAAATCCACCCCCCAACTATATTCACCATGCCTCCTCCTGAAGGCTGGTTTTCATGTTCCTTGTTTCTATTGCCTTTGGGCATTTTTATTCCCCTACTATGTTTCTTCATATCCCAAATATGAGAGAGAGAGCTTTGTGATTTTTAATACGTTAGTGCTGATGCAAACTGCTAAGGGATTAATGAATTCGAAGAAAAGACTGCTGATGAATTGAATGGAGCTTTGAAAGTAATGCACAGTAAGAAAAATAAAATAAAATAAGCCCTAAAGAGAATATTGATCTCATTGAAATAGGGTTTGTACTTTTAAAAATATAAATTCACCAGGCTTGGAGAGATAGTACAACAGGTAGGGCGATCCCTGATACCCCAAGCCCCACAAGTAGTGGTCTCTGACGATAGATTCAGGAGTAAGCCCTGAGTCTTGGTGGGTGTGGTCCCCAAACCATATATATTATTAAAGATTATATATGTACATAAATATACTTAAGGTAAAGGTAAAGGTAAAGGCCCTCCCGTTGATCGTCGATTTGCTCGAGCGGGCCCAGTAACGTCTCCATTGGAGACTTTGTTGTTACTGTGTCTGGCATATCGAATACTCTCGGTAGCTTGCCGGGCTCTCCGAGAGGGGCGGAGGAATCGAACTCGGGTCGGCCATGTTGGCTGCTTGTAAGGCAAACACCCTACCCGTATTATTTTAAATTCTGTCATATTTTATTATGATGAATAAACAGAAAGACCTACTATATAAATTGTTATTACCTGTACTTTACAAAAAGCAAAATCTCAAAACACAAAACAATTGCAATTACATACACACACACTAATCAAAACCAAAATGATCTTCTAACTAATGTTCCTGTGAGGTGTACTTATGCCACTGTGAGAAAGTCCTTCGTATCTCACCTATGCAGCAGGATGCATCTTAAGACTTTCCTTGCTCTATGTCCTTAGTATCATCAGAGATGAAATCCACTCCATTGGCATAATCTTCTGCCCTAGTTTCTGCTTTACATTTGGATGGGTCTGAGCTTATCAGCAAATATGTGAGATTTTTAATTGAAAAATTTAATTTGTCCTTCTTAAAAACCCAATACCAATTAGCAGGGACAGTGCTTCTTTACAGGAAGCAGGGCCTTCTGCGTTCCTTGTGACAGGCTCCACTGCCTGGTTTCTACTCTGGATAGGGCAGCTTCTGTATCACCACACTTGGTAATCCACAGCATACAACTGTTGATACGGGATGAAGACACAGCACGGTTTGCCCATCCCCCTCCCTAACACCCCATGGGGCCTCAGCACCACGAATGAGCTCAAACTTATGGAAAATCAGTTTTAAACGTGAGAAATTTCAAATATCTATTCTTGTCTTCTTTCCAATTCAAATGAAAAATGCATTTCATGTAACAAAGAAGTCTTTAAAAGAAAAACAAAACAAACAAAAAGCACTTTCCCTTAAGAGTAACTCTCTTATCTCCCTAGGATACCATTTTCATATTAAATGAAGATACAAAGATTAAAGTGTGCTTTAAAATCACTTACTCTTATTATAAATTAAGACTGTTCAAAATTTAGATGTGTGCAGTAGCACACACTGAACACAGTGAAAAAATGAAATAGTGACAATCATATAAGAACTGTTTGCAAAGTACAGAATTTGATTTTGTTTGTTTTGGGGTCACACATGGTGGTGTGCAAGGTTTACTTCTAGCTCTGTGTTCATTAATTGCTCAAGGGATCATATGTGGTTCTGGGGATCAAACCAGGGCCAGTTCCATGCAAGGCAAACAAACACACTGCCCACTATAACATACACTCTTTGCCTGAGATATTAGATTTTTTATATCAGATTATTTTCTGACTTTTATGATTATATGATAATGGTTAACAGTCATGCCTGTTTTAGTTCCAGTACAATAAATAACAATAGAAAAGTTATGAAAATATCTTTCAGTAACCTGTTGGTTACCGAAATACCACAGGAGTATTGTGTATCAGAAGTTTTTGTTCTCTGTCTATGAGAAATACTGCCAAATACCCTCCAGAGTGCTAGGCTTTAAAAGGTGCTAAAGAGAGCCTGCCCAATTACTGGAATTCCAGTTTGGCCCACAGAGAACCATAGAAAAATTACTTAGCTGCCTTTCAGAGAAGTTGCTCCAGTTTCAATAGACCTGATCTAGTAGTTTATTACATTCAGAAAACAAAGCACATTCTAGAGAAAGAATCCACAGAGCTAGTTCTCTGACAAAAGAGTCCCTTTGAATTCCTTTGTCAATTCCATAGATTTCTAACAGCCAGAGGATTGTTTTTTAAATCTGATTTTTTTATGCCTGCAAGCATAATTTCCTTCTCTGTAAGTAGGACAGATTCATCTCATAAGCAAGGATAGATAGTTTCCTGCTTAACTCGAGCATGACAGATTAAGCTGCTAGTCCACCACTGAATTTCACCCCGCCCCAGTGTCCCCCCATGCCCTCCCTTGCCCCCAGCCAGACACACAAACCACACAAACCGAGAAAGGCATTTGGGGCAGGACTGTATTTGTTCCTTGAACTGCTCGCTGATGAGCCGTTACTGTCTGAGGCATCCAAGCAGCCCTGATTGAGCAAGCAGTGTGAAGAGGAGGCATAGGACTGGCAGGGCTGAAGCGACATGCCTCATTGAGGGTGCTCCCAGGCAAATTCTTCACTTCTACATTGTGCCTTCAGCAGGAAAGTTTCCTGTACAATGGTCTGGCAGAAAGCAGGCACTTCACACATGCTCTCCAAGTATAAAAGAGAAAAATGAGGAGAGAAATATGCGTGCTTAGGGAAAATACACAAAGACTTTGCATGTAGAGATAGATGTCTTTTAGAACTTGCCAGATTGTAGCAGAACAATTTTAATTTTTGCCCAAGTGTTTTAGGTGACACCTGAAGAATAGCTGAATTAAGAGTGAAAAAAGGTAATATTAGCAAACAAACAACACTAGGGAATGAGAGTTACTTGAACAATTTTCATTTATCAATTATATATGAAAATAGCATTTTAAAAAAAATAATACTTGCAAGATAATGTTTCTGAAGGGGCATTTGCAATATCTCAAAGCCAGTGTGTTGTATGAAGAAATATATTCCTACATCCAGAATTATAACATGAGGATAACATTATTCAGAATGTTACATGGGGCATCTTAAAAAGCTGTTCAATTTATTCATTAGGTCCATATATCAAGCTACAAAGCAAAGCAGTCCTATTTTCATTTTTGCACAGAAATAGATGTTAAAATCAGGCGATGTTAGAAAGAGACTGAATCAAATAATGCAAACACATGAATGTACTATTCTCACACTTATGTAATTGAAGGCTATTTTGCGTTTTGTAATCTTGAATCTTTCACAGCCACATGCATTATATTTGTCATTTGTCTCTTTTACTCAGGTGCAAAGAAGGCTACCAAGGAGTCCGCTGTGATCAGTTTCTACCGAAAACTGATTCCATCCTGTCCGATCCAAGTAGGTCAAGTGTTTTTCTGCTCTCTTTAATACAATGTATAGGCTGTCCTTACTCTGAACTACTGTTACTAACTCAGTTGAAGGCTCCATTTCAGTTGTGTGTCTCTGAAAGCTGCCAACGGGAGAAGTTGGTGACAATATGAAGGCTCAAAATCTGCTCAGAGCTAACTTGACCCAGGCATAGAGCTTCTCCAGTGACTGGGGCAAATCTTAAGATTCAGCTTCACCATGAGTCTTAACTGGAAACTAGGCAATCTCCCCTAGCCTTTAAGTCTACTACCATGTGTACTCTCTCACTATCTCATTATCAAAACAAAGATAAAAAAAGCAAAAGGATGGTTGTTATTGTTGTTATTTGTTATTTGTTTCAAAAGAATATTATGAAAAATGCAACATCGTACTGGTTCTTACCCTCTGGTTGGTAATTTATGATAGAGAAGTATGAATATGAAAAATGATCAGAAATTTTCAAAGGGCGGAAACCTCATTTTTAGCAACACTACTCATACTCCATTAAAAAGTAGTGCTAGTCATTAAATTGTATATTTTTATGTAGTAAAAAATAACTATCTCTACACTGAGCCCAAATTCCAGATAAATGAAAATGTTGATTTTATCTCTGAATAAACTTTTGTTATTCCAATGACCAGTTTCAGTCAGCAATTCAGAAAGAGGAATTTTTTTCAATCAGCAGTTTGATTCAGTGAGGATATGACAGATAACATCAATGAAGTCAATATTATGGTTTTCTACCAGGCATATAAAACACAAACTTTAGCAAAATATGTGTTAAGTGACTACGAAGGTTGCCCTTCTTGTTAGTGAGCATGGCTGCATAGTGAACTTGTCAAGACATCTTTCAGAATCTCTTCAAAATGCAAGTTTTTGTTTTCATCGTGAATTTCTTGCTCTCTTTCCTGGGGTAAACTTAGTGTTGTTTTCTTTTTTTAAGGAAAAGTTTTGTTTACTGTAACTGAACTGAGCTATGGTTTAGCCTTTGCAAGGCAAGCCACTATACTGTTCTTTATAGTACTAACTGTTCTTTTCTTTGGAAACTTAATTTTCCTGAAGAGAAATGAAGCCTGGCTAAAATAAAAGCTAACAGCCAAGTTAGTAGTGGAATGCTTCTGTTCTCTGAAATATGAGGACTGGTCTAGGAACTTCCTATTGTGCTTTGAGGTGTTTATCTGGAAAATTGAAAAGTTTATTAGAACAAACTCACTGATTTTTTATAATCTTTTAAAAAATTGTCTGATGTACCTAGCCTAGTTTCTCTCTTTGATTTTTATCCTTCATTTCTCTCTCTTTCTTTCTATGATCCCTTTTCTTCCTTCTTTTGCTTTAACATTTTTGTTCTTTCCTTTAGACTCTTTCCCTCCTTACTTTCTTGCTTTCTTTCTAATTTATTTGTTTTCATACATAGACATATAATTTCTGTAAGTTCAGGGCACTAAGAAAGGGAACATCACTGATATAATCATATCTCTTTGATTGCATCTTTACTTGATGCAATCAACATGTTTCCAACTCTATTAGAAATCATAATCTATCACCGCAAAAGTTAACTATGAGAATCATATAAGGATTCTTACAAAGAAGTGATCCCATAATAAAACTCTATAATACTGTTAACCTATGCATAAAAATATTTTCTGCAGCAGTATTTATAGTGGTGGAAAAATCTATATTCTAAAAGCTAATAGGATTATGTTCAAATAGAATATCATGTAGCATATCAAATGTTATTAAATTATCATAAAAATAATAGTTGCAAGAAATAATCCTATCAAGTGAGACCTCAAGAAAGAAAATTATTTTCATTCAAGATTGCAATAGGAATATCCTTTGGCCTAAAATAAAAAAATGTATATTTGATATGCTAAAGGAAGACTTAATAATCTTTCAGTCATAGAAATGTGTATAAAGTGTTCCTATTTCTCATGTTTGTGTAAAATACTATAGTATAACATTACATGATTCAAAATGTCAGAATGCCATGAAATTTTTTAAAAGAACTTGTAAAACCTAGATAGCTTCCCAGGAAAAATGTTAAGTCTCTCTTTAGTCTATGTTTGCATTTATGTATTTATGTATTTATTAACTAATTACCCAGATATCCCTTGCTCACTCATTGAAAGTCATCTGACAGGTCAGACTCTGAAGGTATATTTGAATTAATTTGTATTTAAAATACTAACAGATTTAGGCTCTAATGCTCACACAGTCTAGTAAGAGAGAAAAATACATGGATACATAAGCATGGGAATGAATCTGGTAGAAACATTTACTTCCTTAAAACCTTGGCAAAATTATTTAGTCCCAAGCCTCAGGCTTTCCATCTGAGTAGTGGCAATAATACCTATAGGCACCTCTTTCAGAGATTGATGCAGAAGTTGATGCCAGAAGAACATTATCTCATTCCCATAGTCATTGCTATCATCATGCTGGTATATACTTAGATTTTACATGTGCCACACACTGTGCCAAAGGGCTTTTTCTAGATTATCTCATTAAAAGCTCACAATCATAGTCTACCAGAAAATTACTAGCAATTGCTCACATTTTATAAATGAGGAAATTAGGCCTCTGAGATATTAAACAAACTTGCTCAAGGTCACAGAGCTAGTTAATTCTGGAATAGAGTTTCTGATCAAATGACTCTAGGGCCAGAGTGCCCAACTGCAGGGCTCTTTGTGTCTCTCCCTGGGCCCCTCCTTTCTTTAGTTATTTTCATTATGGCATTTATCACTCTAAATTTCATTGATGGACTCAATGACCTGCAGCCAACATTATTCTAAGACACAATATTTGCACAGTTTTCATATCTTAATGCAGCAACTTGAGCTTCCATAGAGATTTAAATCCCTAATGAAATTTTCCTGTCAAAATTCTTGCTGAAGGATAGTTTAATTTGCCTTTTATGATATCTTTGGAATGATTTTATGCTTAGGAAATAAGCTTCCCTCAACATTCTCCCTCTGTACATTCTTTTCTCTTCTCTTCTCTCTCTCTCTCTCTCTCTCTCTCTCTCTCTCTCTCCCTCTCTCTCTCCCTCTCTCTCTCCCCTTTTCTTCCTTTCTTCTTCCTTTTTCCCTAGTTGTTAAATGTATGATGTAGTTTGGGGGGGGGGTAAGGAAGGGAACTGGAACCTCTGCTGTTTTATTCTTTCTTAGTTATGTGCAGAATTGATCAGAAATAAACTTTGGCATATTCAACGACAGTTAACCACAAAAAAAAAATAAAGCTTCAAATTGCATGCATGGGAGTGAGTGGGGAATTTGGGGGGAAGTGCTACCAGGAAGGCAGTTTGAAAGACTCAGTGATGGCTATATCCAGTCTTTGCACTATGGTCTCAGGCTACTTCACAGATGTCCTAGTTCAGAAGCTTAACCCTTTAGTATATTGCAATTAATTTCACTCATAAAGATACATACATGTACATAAAGAATCAAATGTATAAAGCACGAGGTTGTTCCCTCTTAGATATATATGCCCTGTGCAAAAAAGCTTAATCAGTTGCTCACAAGGATTTCATATATGGAGGCCACATGCTGATCACGAGGATGAATAGTAGGCTATGTGTTCTCAAGAAAGGCAGTGACAGAAATGGGATAAAAGAAGATAACCTTTGGGGAAAGAATCCACCCCAGTGAGGCTAGCACTTCTAAGATGGATTTATTTGAACACTGTCATCTTCAGCTATGGTTGACAACAGTAAACTTCTAGGAAATCTAATATCTTCTGGACAATGTCTAATGTCATTGCTGTGGAGTCAGTTTTTTTCCTTGAAACACAGGATCTAGCTCTAACTCCCATTTGGTTTCCTTCCATCCTACACCCATCCTGGTCAGGTACCTCTTCCATTCTTGTATCACAGATGGATTGAAATGAGAGGTAGGAATCGTTTAAGGTTCTAGGTAGATAATTTCCTGGATTTATTCTCTTAATGAGCACAAACCATCCTAACTTACCATCAAAATTCTGATTTCGGACTGGATAGCTAGCACAGGAGGTATGGCATTTGCCTTGTATCCTCTTTGATGGTGACCTGGTTCACTCTCTTACACTACAAATTATCCCATGAGCACAGAGTCTGGGATAGGCCATTAACACCACCGGTTTTGGCCCCAACCACAACCCTTTCCAGCCAATTTTTTAAAAAATCCTGAATGGAAGCATGAGAGAAGTTCAAGAACATTTATACAAAGCAAAGTCAAAGAATTGGAGTGGGCAGAGAAGAGGTCCATGTGTTTTTATTTTTCTCCTTACACAGCTGGAGGCAGCTATTTTCAGGCCTTATTTTAACACTCTCCTTACTAGCTTCTAACATCCAATATCCCAAGCTGGAAATATGCATCAGTTTTGTAGGCCCAAGATTTGAGTTTTGAAGAGTTCAAATTCTGAGCTATCTAGCCCTAGCAGAGGAAAATGAAGGATAACTTTCAACTGCAGCCCAAATAGAATTTTCCATAGAAAATGTATTGTCTTTTTTTCTGTAGTTCATGGATCATACAGCAATTCGACCTAATACTGTGTTTCTCAAAGTGGATGATACCATCTCCCAGGGGGGACTGAAATGATTGAAATTGGTGGTAGTAGCCACAACAGTAGTAAAACTGGTGGAGGCATGTTTTCTTCTTTGCTTAGAGAGAGGGGAATTCCAGGGGGATGCTGAGTCATTTGCTTATTTTCTGAAAAATAAAAAGTAAAGTAAAGGCCGTCCCGTTGATCATCGATTTGCTCGAGCGGGCCGGGTAGCTTGCCGGGCTCTCCGAGAGGGGCGGAGGAATCGAACTCGGGTCGGCCATGTTGGCCGCGTGGGCGTTTGCTCGAGCAAATCGACGATCAACGGGAGGGCCTTTACCTTTTACCTTTACCTGAAAAATAAGGTAGGCCAAATAAATTTGTGAAAGTCAGATATAGCAGATTAAAAAAAATAATCTGTACAAAGTGGTAAATATTTGTTATGTCACATATGCAGGGGATTCAAGCCTAGAAAC